CCCCAAAACCCCAAAACCCCAAAACCCCAAAACCCCTAAAATTTACTCTAAATTGAACTAACATCTCTTAAATTCAATTCTAGAGTCCTTTCCTCCATGCTGGTTGTGCTCTAACAGTTGGACCTCTTAGCTGACCTCCAAAGGTCATGGCATCCTTCCTATCATCAACTCCTTCTTTGAACTTCTCTCTGTTCTTGCCCTGGGCTGCCTTAGTGACCTTATTCAGCCTACTCTCAACATTAGCATATTTGTCATCTTTTTGGAGCAGCTTGGCTCTTTTCATACGCAAGGCTTGCTCCTCTTCAGTATAAGAGTTTGGGATACCTTTCTTACTGATAACTAGTTCAGCCCTCTTCCTGAAGTGCTCCTCCTCTCGTCTGTATATTCTTTGCCGAGTCTCATAATCTTGTTCATATTTATGGCGCTTCTTTATTCTTTCAAGTTTTGATATCTCTTTCTTCTGTTGCTCTTTTAATTCCTTCTGAAGTTGATATTGTTTGACCTTGTGTTGTTTCCATTCAAGTTCTTCTCTTTCTCTTTCTTTCTTCTTCTCAAGCGTTTCCTTTTTCTTTAAGTCGGATTGGGTTTTCTTTGACTTTTCTTCCTCAGCCTTCTTTTGTTTCCATTCGAGGATCTTCTGTTTCTGTTTATCTCTGTATTCTTGAGAGAATTGGTTTACAGAGCGGCCAGAACTTTGGCTCCTATTGAGGAGAGACCGGTCGTTCTCTTGGAATTTAGGAGCAGAGGATTCAATGCCATGTAGCTTTGTGTTACGGTTCACTATTTTCTCTTTCTTGTACTTCTGCAGCAGCTCCTTCTTCTCCTTGGTCAGCTCTAAATATTCCTTGTGCGTCTTGATGTGCTCCTTGATCTTGCCGATGTCTGAGTCTGGAATCAGTCCCAGAATTTCGTTCAGAAATGAAAGTTTGTCAGTTTTGTGCTTGTGCTTGGTCTTGATCCGCAAGAAGTCTTCATGGTCGCTTGGTTTCCAGCCACAGTGGAACCCACCAAGGGTTTCAATTCTGTCATCGATCTGGTCAATTTGAAGTCTGATTTCGATCATTTTCTGGGACATTTGGTCTGAAGAAGGAGCTGTTGGAGGCATTCCAGGTCTGTTGGTGATTTTAGGAGCTACGTGAGATATTGGTTCTCTTGCTTGTGGTAACAGAAGCAGGCCTTCTTTTGGTACCTCCAGTCATTGAACTCTGATTACTTATGACAGAATTTCTTTCATATCATGATCTATCAGTAGCTTTATCCTCTTCAATAATAGCAGTCATTTTATTCTCGAACAGCTCCAATTCTCGAGTAAGCTCTTCCTCTGCTTGGGATAAGATACCATATTCATTATTTGTTCTTTATTTTGAACTCTTTGAGGTTCTCATTGATATCTCTGACTGAGGTTTGTAGTTTGTCGATAACTGATTCGTCATCATACATTCTTTCCTTCATAGCTTTAGCTTTTAATACAATCTCTAAAGGTTAGATTAAAGATACTCTTTATATTATTAACTTCCTTTATCTTGTTCTTCCTGAGGGAAATAAATTTGTTATTCTTCTTATCATCCTCTTTGTTAGAGTCATCAATGAAACTAGTGAAGTCCTTCTTGAAAAGAATTAAAGATTTAAATTTTGAAATATCCTCTTGATTATATTCTCTGTGCAGATTTCTAAACTTTTGGATCCAACCTCTTTTGTTAAAGCTTTCTTCCTCCATTTTGCAATTTTCAATTTAAATAATCAAATGAGGGGTTTTGGGGTTTTGGGGTTTTGGGGTTTTGGGGTTTTGGGGTTTTGGGG